ATTTATCTATTATTGTTAAAATGATTTTCAGGTTAATTGGGAAAAAAGAACCCAGTAGTGACTACTGAAAAGCAGTTTCTTCCTTGTTTGGGACTCTTCAGTGATACACACTCCTGTGACTCCATCAAGAATGGAACCCAGGAACTTCACCTACCTACACCCCGGATCTTAAAGGAAAATGTCCTGAAGTTTCACGTCTAAGTGGCAAATTGGATTTTGCTAATACTATTCATGAAAAAGAAATACTGCCTGTGTGTTTTTGTAATAAATAATTCCTCTTATTCCCAACGCTCTTGATCGCTAAATATCTTCACTTAACCCTGTTCTTATTTGCATTAGTTAACAAAATATAGCCCCCTAATGTCAAATATTGTTGTTGTGGAGGACGATTCAATGGAGAAGCTTTCACTGTCTTTTTGGACAGCAGATTCGGCGCTAACTTCAGAGTGAAGTGATCTGTGAGAGCTCTGCATTGATGAAATATTTCTTTTTCTGGTTGCTCTTGATTGTAGTTGGTTACTTCTGCAGATTTACTCGTGATTACAAACACTAGAATTGAAACTGATCTTGTTGTTGTTTAATTGATGTTTAACTTTTCGGTCTTCTGATTTGAGTGACAGGCCTCTAGGAATTGATCAGAAGGTACAGATATTTCATTCATGGAAAATCCACAAAGCTCACTTCACTTTGAAGTTAGCGCTGAAACTGTTGTCTTGATGGACAGACAGAAGAAGCTTCTGAATCTCAGTGAACACAACAATACCGAAGGAATCCACATGAGCTATAAAACTGCATAGGGACTTGTCCGTGTCATACTGAGATCATTAGAATGTAAGTGAAGTCCTGTGATATATTTATATATAATAGGAACTACTTATTACAAAAACACATAGGCAGTATTTCTTTTCATGAATAGTATTAGCAAAATCCAATTCGCCGTTTAGAGGTGAAACTTCAAGACATTTTCCTTTAGAATCCGGGGTGTGGGTAGGTGAATGGTGAACGAGTTCGCCTCGTAAACTGAAGTTCCTGGGTTCCATTCTTGATGGAGTCACAGGTGTGTATTGTTGAAGAGTCCCAAACAAGGAAGAAACTGTTTTCCAGTAGTCACTACTGGGTTTTTTTCCAGTTAACCTGAAAATCATTTTAACAATACTAGGTAAATTCATATTCAGATTAGTCAAACTTTCCTGGTTTAAGTTATCACCAGTGCAACTATCCTAGATCAGTAGCCAGTCACCGGGCTTAGAGATCATAATGTTAACTGATCTAAACGAATTCAGTCAGCACTAGAGAATAGACATAGTGGCCAACAAATGTGTCAATTACAGTTGGACAGGAGACCAGCGGTCACCTCAATAGTCGAACAGTAATGTCCGTAACTGCAGAACAGTATGATGCGAATTGCATATCTCATAAGGCATCATTTTCCACAAGGTTTCAGATCCCTGCTAATGTGCTGGAGTTTTCAACTGTGAGGATAGTAGCTCTTGATACTTATATCTATTTGTCACGAGAAATCAACTTTCAAGAATAATAACTGTAACACTTAGCGCTCTCGTTATCAATCTTAAGGTGACTTTATATACATAAGGGACAAAATAGCTAACGCTCATTAATTTGTCTATTAAATAAGGCTACATAGAAAATACAGAGATGATGAAGATATCTAACCGACAACAATTAGCACCAAGCAGAAATTTCAGGGAATTCACAAGTTTCACTTATCTAGGCAGCATTTTTTTCAAATACAGGCGTTCGCATGGATAAGGATATCAAAACCAACTGCAACAAAACAAGACAGTTCTCCATTAATCTGAATTCAGTGTGAAAATATCCATCATTCGGTATCAGGAACAAGATTCAAATTTTGATGATATTAGATAGTTGGAGGCAATCGGCCACAGGAAGCCTTGCTTGACCTAGGTTTCGTGCTAGTTGGCACTCACCAGTCAGCAAGGCGTATCTGCAACCTTGAAGGAACTCATGTCCGTTCTGAGATTCGAACCCGCGTCACCCAGTGCTGCAGTTAGATACGTTACCACTGAGCTATTCTGGCTAGCAATTGCGTTGGTGGTTCAGCCGGATTCTGAGTTCGACACTCTCGACGCACCCCCAAAACTCGCTTAAACCGTATTCCTTCCTGGAAAGAGGGGTCTGGTGGGAGGCTAGCGTTAATGAAATGAAAATATGAAACACTGGAGGCCATAAACAATCCCCCAACGAATGTTTTGGGCCTTATAAACGAAAGACGTGGGTGACATAGCTGGTTCCACCTGCGATTTGACCATTCTTATTTTATTAAACTAATCTCCACAACTTCCCTATCATATTTTTGTTATTATTATTATTATTATTATCATTGCTACTAATATTTGTAGAAGTGTCTCGTGTTATTTTAAACATGCAGCTGCTAATCATTAGTACATCTGTTATCGACATAATTGAAATGCATTATTTTGACATTTCCTTAGGGAATTTCATTCTTTCCAAACATTTAAAGCATGCAAGAAAGTCTAGTGGGATAATAAATCCTGTGGGTATAGAAATACAATTTTTAAAGATACACTTTAGAGCTAACTCCTTTAAAAGTATTTTCCCTTTTCCTCCCATTATCACTTTCCATGTTGCTTAAGATTATATGTGTATATTACAAAAAAAGTGTAATCGATGGAAATCGTAATTTTAGCATTCCTATCTGCTTAGGACTACACTATGCAAAATAGAGGAAACAACGTCTTAATTTCGGAAATTTGAGTCACTGATTCAGCTGTCAGTATCATTAATCATATGAGTTTGACCTTGAGAAAATCAGTCTGATTTACAGACGGCCTAATCGATCACCGTTGTTTCTACATTCACACTTTGTCACTGAATTTGAGTGCTGATTAACTGATAGGTTATTCTGGGCAAGTTAAAATTTAAGCACTGAATGAATGCGATGTCACAAATGACCTTGAATGCACGAATCACATGAAAAAGTTGATGTTCACGCATAAATTAGTAATTATTATTGTTCCTTTGAGTTCCGAGGGGAACATACGGCTTCAGCAGAACACCTCTACTTTGTCCTACTCTCTGCGATCCACTTTGTCTGGCCCCACAACTAACCATAGTCTTTTATCTTCTCCTAATACGATCTCCTCTATGGCACACTGGGGCACACATCCGGCTTGTCCTTTCTTATTCGGGTTCCACTCGAGCTGTGGCCTGGAGCGCGATGCCACCCAATGGTTTCCTCAGCGAGTGTCTGATCCATCTCTATTTTCCTTCGGAGTATTTGTTGAGCAGTATGTTTTTGACTGGTTCGTCCCAGGAATTCTCATTGTTGATTCCCTCTGGCTGGCCATTTGATCTGCAGTATGCAGCCAGCGAAGATAGCTGTTGATAAAAGTCTGAAACATGTTGGAGATGAAATAATGAATAAAAAAGTGTGACAGAAATGCCACTCACTTTTCCATACGAGTATCAGTAAAGAAATTAAACTAAATTCTATACGTGATTCATCTATATGGTTGTAAATAACATCCGTTTGAGTTCCATTGGTCGCTGTAATCCTATTCTTCAACCTTCCCCGTAATCATTCAGCAGAATTGTTTCGGGTACCTGTGATAGGATCCACAAAACCATTAGGATGGTTGAATCTTCATAAGTAGCTACCGTCTCCATCTTCCAGAAGGCAATGTTTCTACAGTGTTGGTACCACTGAACGTTTGAGACGAGACTATTCTCCGTTTCCGTATCTATAGGTGTCAACTTTCAACTGCGAATGTAAAAAATTTGGGTTAATGACAGGTGTCATCTAGCAAAAAGCTGTTCTTTCTAAATAATATAATCACAATCCCAGCTTCGCTCAAATTAACTAGCCTCGGGCAAAGTTTTCATTGGTGAATATGACCGTTAACAGCTCTGCTGAACATTTCTACACTCATCAAATCTTCACAAGGACATATTCTTTTACTTTCAATCCATCTTACATCTAGACAATACTGGAATACGTACTTTACATCAAACTTCAGAATTAATTCAGATAAAGAGCGAGCATTTGCATTTAATGAAGCAGGATAACGCCTTGAACTCACTTGAGAAGTGTGACTGCTCCCTTCAGAGCCATTCGTGAGACTGTACCCCTTTGGCACCTAAAGTTTCACTTGGTAGCAATTCATTAATCAAGATTTGTCTTTTGAAGATCGTGTTCAGATGAGGTGTTGAAACCTACTTGAAATTTACGCTCTGCCACCGGTTTCCAGTGTTCATGCAAGAATGTTTAATGCTTCAGGATCAAGTATAACGATTGAGTTGTAGAGGTTGCACATAAGATATTTTTACGCATTATCAGTAACCGAAGAATATGATATTAGATGGTCGGAGGCAATCGGCAAGAAGCCTTGAAACTAGTTTCCGTGCTAGTTGGCACTCATCAGTCAGTAAGAGATGTCTACAACCTTGAAGGAACTCAGGCACAGTGATGCAGTCAGAGAAGTTACCGATTAGCTATTTGGGCTCGCGATAGACCTGCTGCAGGAGTGTGTCGGATACTTTTACTGGACACTAGTAACTAGTGTGATATGTGAAGTAAACTCACCAGTTAATATTGCATACAATCAGTCACATTTATGAAACATATTCCATATGCAGAATCCCAAATTATAACACTCAGCATCGCTTTATGTTGACTCTCTTTTCTACTCAGTAGAAATCATGAACCACAAACAGGATTAGGTCGATTTGGTTGACCAATAGATTTGCACTGCTGAGGACTACAGTTTGATCACCGTTCCTGAAGTGTTGTTTCATTGTAACACGAAATTTATGATAGTAGGTAATGAATTTTCTTTTCTGATCCTCAAGTCGTATTTTTTGCGTTCCCGGTGGTAGTATATCGTAAAATGCACAATAGGCAGCTAGTAACATCTTTATGGCATCTGCTTTGCTCTTGATAACTACGATAAATGCTCTTCGATAAGTAACTTCTTCTAGTGTACTGCAAAGAATTGTTTTCACTGTTTTAGCTGTAAGTTCCAGCTCCACAATGCGAGGATTACCGGATATTTTGAACTATCATATTCCACTAGAGCTGCTATTCGTAAGGAGGATTCAGTCATATCCATTTCATTATCAACTCTTAACTGTTGCAGTAAGCCAATCAAAAAGTCTTCACTAAAGCCAGGATATTTTTTTTCAACCTTATAAAATGCTTGCTTTAATCGCTGAGTTGATCCATAACTTTTTTTTTCCAAGTTGGAGAATGTTGGTTCGAAAATTACTTGTTTTTCCCTAGAGGAATTTCCCACTTTACCAGCAGGAGCGGCTGCTATTTGCCATCGACTTCCGGCCATGTTTTTTGAATTAAACCGCCACGACACCTTTGCTGACTGGTGAATGCCAGCTGGCACGAAACCTAGGTCAAGCAAGGCTTCCTGCCGATTGCCTCCAAACATTTAATATCCAGAATTCAAAGTGCACCCTGATGGTGAGCTAACTAGAATGGTGGCCACATTGCAAAGCTGACTGATAGAATTCAGTTTGCATTAAACAAAAAACTAGACGCATCATACTAGTTACTAGTGTCCAGTCAAACGACAGAAGTGTTTGGAACTAAAAATCAATTGGCATTCACTTTGTTCTAGTCTAAGACTCACCACGTATGAGAAATGATAACTTGATATGGAAAGGATACAAAATTCTAAGATTTGCTGAATCACATTACAGGTTATTTTTGGTGTTTCATTTAAAACTGATATAAACCTGTGATATACGTTGAACCTACAAAAGACTATAGAAGATCTAGACTTCGTGGATGATTTATCTCATGCCAGACATACTAAAAGATCTACACGTGAAAACGAACAGTTTGGCAGAAGAGGCAGTGACGACAAAACTTCAAGTGAATGGAGAGAATCAGGAGATGATGAGGATACCTAACCAGCATTAACAATCATCAGTCACCATCAGTGGAAATGATCTAAAGTAGTTCCCTTCTTTTATTTGTCCGGCTAGAAAGCATCGTTTCAACTACAAGCATTTGGCACGGATGAGGATGTCAAGGCCAACCGAAATCGAATCAGAAAAGCAAGATTGACATTCATTACTCTAAACTCAGTATGGAACGGGACAGAATTCAAGTAAATGGGTGCTTATATATCGTTCACTGACTTGGTACTTCAAGAAAATCACTTCCAACAGGCTACTGTCTAATTTCGTCAACAATTTTCTTTACTCTGTGATGAAGATAAGATGATTTTCTGGAGAAAATAAGCAAGAAGTAACTCTAGGTACTAACCAGACAAGAATCTATTGCGTAACAAATATATAGAAGAATTGGATATACACTGAAGAAACTGCCAAGTGACATCACATGCTAGTCTAACTATCGAGTGAGACACGAACGGCAAGCGATGACTTTAAGGGTTAGTCTGTGAGTGACATCAGGAAGATATTGCAGGAAGGAAATGAAGGCTTATGGTCAATTTTGGAGCAGATAAAAAGAAGCGCAGAAAATAGAATGAAATTGAGGTGTACTGTTGAAGTCATATATTCTACTTGAAAACCAAGAGATTCGATACTATCTACACCTAAAATGATGGCTAACAAACACTCAAATTGTTTGATTTCGCCTATTACTTTTTATCATTAAGACATTGGGAATCTCTCTCGACGTTAGTCAGTATTTCATAGCAAAATTATACACATGGACTCTTTGAATAAATTTAAAGTCAGAAGAGAAGGGAACAACTTTTTGCTTGAATATTGATGTGAATACAATACTATTACCATTATTACTTATTACTATTCTGATTATTATTATTATCTGATCTCAATACACAAGATCAGATGGCCAGAAAAGATCAGCAACAGGGATCTTTGGGAGCGAACCAACCAGGAGCTGATAATGCAACAAATATGAAGGAAGAAATGGAGGTGGATTGGCCATACTCTGAGAAAACCATCAAGGGACATCACACGCCAGGCCATCGCTCGAGTGGAACCCGAATGGGAAGTGGCGAGTTGGTCGTCAGTGCGAGGGTGACATGGAGGAGGTGATGTGAAGAGGAGATGAAAGCATGTGGACAGACGTGGAGCCAGGTGAAAACGTTGTCAGAGAAACGAGGAAGCCCTATATTCCTCTAGGAACTAAAGGAGACAATAATAATGATTTTTATTATTCTCTTTGGTTCAAAGTGGGACATAGGATTTCAACCGTACAGCCCCATTTCATCCTATTCTCTACTGTCCTCTTCAGATGATCCCATGACTGACCATTAGATTTCATCTCCTCCTCATACGATCACCTCTATGTCACCCTTGGATGCCCAGCTCGTCGTCTCCCATTCTGGTTCCATTCATGCACACAGGGTGTTGTGTCACTCGACACTCTACAGAAGTGCCTGTCCTATCCATCTTCATTTTCTTCAGGAAATAATAGGCCACTGGATAGTTTGTTCCCACAGTTTCTTGTTGCTAATTCTTTCTGAAGCCGGCGAAGGCATATGAATTTATAATTTTTCATCGTGCACGTATTAATCTAATAAGGCTAATTTCTTTGGTCTTACTTTCCCCGTTAACAGCTCTCTCCTAGCTTCCTGAAGTCTTCTAAATAGTTCTGTTAACCACAGTTATGAGTAGTATCAGTGATAGTGGTCACCCCTGCCTTACTTCAGTCTTCACTTGGAAGGCTTCTTTGAGTTTTCTGTTGTAGATCAACTGATACGTGTCACTGTCGTGTAGCTAAGTTGATAGAGATTTGTGGCACTGTACTTCACAGTGTTGAAGTTGTTTCCAAATTACTTCAAGGTCGACGCTGTCAAAGGCCATTAAAAAGTCAATGAAATTGAGTTAAAGACTTGGCTGGCATTTTAGGCTGTGTTAGGTGATGATACCTACAGTTGCAATTTGATCAACGCATGATTTTCCCTTCCTGAGTTCAGCTTTTTTCGACTGATGAAGTTTTGCATTCAGGGCATCTTTTAGTCTCTTCTACTGACCAAAATGATCTGAGATAGATATGTCCACAACACTCTGTAATCACAGAAATCAGAATAAATTACCAACCAATTCTAAGGCGAAATACGTTCTTTTGGTGTCATGAAGCTAATTAAATAATGCGTCACAAGTGCACAGAAGACCGAATTTGAAAATATTTTCAGGGAAAAATGGAAAATGAGATATTACATAGGAGTTATAAAGCCAACAAACAAAACAATTTGATAGGAAACAATGCGGTTGTTACCATGATAGTAGAAGTGGTTGAATAATTCTTCTTTTCATGCAGCAGAGTTATGCTTTCTTTTTCTGAAGGGCTAAAGCTTTAGCACTGCAGAAGAGACGAAAGCATATTGCCTATGGCAGGAGGAGGCGTTTGTTGAGATGGAATGATCAATGTCGACAAAATTTCCAATTATCGCACTCTTTATAGAGTCACTGAAGCCTTTCTGCAGCCATGCGGGATGGTGTTCTTGAATGCTTAGACAACCTACGCACCGAATAACTAACACACCTAACCACACAGTAACAAGTGAAATGATATATGCACATAGAAGTCATCAGGTATTAGACCTTGTTTTTCAGACTCCTGAAAACCAGTGGACGACTGGAGAACATTGTTATATGGTCACGGTCAGGATTTTTTTATCTGAAAACTGTCAAAATTCTTCTTATTAGAAAGTCACAGATTAGATCACACGAACGGTGTCTGTGTGTTTGAATTTTCGGTCTGACATTCTTGTCAATAAATCTCTATGGATGTCCATTTCGGATGAAGTTTTCTCTCGGAAAATCTAATCCTTCATCTAAAACGTCAGGGCCACAGGTGCACTGTATGTGAATTCCGCAAACTGGTTGATAAATTCTTAAGTGTAAAGCCATTGATATGTATATTTTTCAGTTATTAGATGACTAGGGCAATCGATAGGAAACCGTAGAGTTGAGTTCCGCTTTTATTAGTACGCATTAGTAAGGCGTATTTGCAGGCTCCAAAGAAAAAATATCTGTTGAATTTCCTACTGGTAGAGTGTCGAAAGACAGATGACAGAAAGTGGTATATACTGCTGACAGTTTCACTTCGCTGAAACAGAAACATGAATTTATAGCTTAGCAAGTGAATAGAATGAATGCATGCATAATAAATGTTCAGTGTAAGTGCAATCTCCAAGTTTTGGTTGGCAGGTATGATCGCTAGCTGACATCAGTCAGAGAACCACCGGCGAATCAGGGAGTACTGGACAGCTGCTATGTCCTAGTTTGGGACTCTTCGTCAGCGAGCACCCACTGGGGTTCTAAACCAAGACCCCTGCCGTTGCACTGGGAGCTCGTAGACCATTCAGCCACCAGAATCCTATCCAGCAGACGAAAAACCTGTCAGCGTACTAGTAGGAATTTACCTGGAGTTCTAGTGAGAAGTCATAACCAGTGAGATCCATAAAGTCACCTATGACATTGGCTGCCGGTTGCGCTACATGAATCCAGCCTTGGTGGTGAAAAGGTTTACGAGCTCGCCTTGCAACCGAAACATCTTGGGTTCGAATCCCGGTGGGTGCGAATTGCTGGAGAGTCTCAAACTGGGATGAAATATCTGTCCAGCACTCCTTGATCTCCCAGTGGTTGGTTCTTTGCAATCACTTGTATGAGCTCTAAAAATAGTTCCTTGCACTGCAAAGCATACTGTTCGTTCTTTAAATTACATGGCTTAGCTAAATATTCCTTGGTGTGTGCTCGTGCGTTACGAATTGGTATTTCATACGTTAGAGATAAAGAAATAGTGAGCAAAATGTTTTCAGTCTCTGAATTTCTAGTTTATTTAACAAACTACTGATGAAACTTTGATTTTTAAGTCAAATAAACACCATATTGCTATTACACATTGGGGTGAATGCGAAATTAGGTCATTTTTTTGTGTGTATACACCTCAAATTTTCCTAATGAACTATTGTAATGTATTTGTCATCTAAAATAGGGCATTTGTGAAAAAAAACTGGTCGATTTCTCCTGAGAACGGATTGAAGCTTTATTTACTATAGGATTTTTCTAAATGCGTCAGCTACCTAACTAATTATTAGTCAGTAAATATGTATATAAATGGAATAAAACGACCAAAAGACCGAAAAAATAGTGAGTACTATTCATTTTATTATTCTGAGTTGCAAGTGTTGTTATTTGATTGGAGTTGAAAAGTCGTGTTTCCCAGTTATACCAAAATGGAAATATGAATAATCTATCGAAATCGTACATGGAAGTTCTATGTTTGGTTGCAGCTACTTCTAAATGCAATTACGTCATATCGGAAATTTCCACCAGTCTCTCAGAAATCCATTTGCATGTAACTGTTATTATTATCAAGAGT